TCATTTTTCAATTTATCCATATCAAACAAAAATCTAATTTAGATAATTTGGAAATCATGTTTTTCCTCTTCAGATGTTTTAACGGCAACATTCAGACCCAACTTCCTGTTTCCCGTTTCCTAAACATGTTATAAAATTAACAACAAAAAAAAATAGAAACAAATCACTACCGAAACCACTAAACTAGCTTCATAAACGCAATCCATTTAATTGAGTGGTTCCATTTTTAAAAAGCGAACAAGCATATCGCATTAATACCTCCCCCATTCTATTTGCGTTTAAAAAACGAACGCTAATTGCGGCTTTATAGGCCAATACTTTTAACTGTGACATATTAGGAGCGTTTACAAAGCTTGCTTCAGATCTTTTAAGTGGTATCTTTAAAAGGTTTGATGTGAAATAATGTCAGTATTTCGTTGTTTGGTTGATGCATGTCATAATACTTTTAAACGAGAGATTCGTGTTAGCAACAAAGTTTATTATCATTGATATTGTAATTTTATATATAAAAATCAAAATTTGTTTGTTTGTTAGTAGATACTTTATGTTAGGACAGTTTTTAGCAGGGACGGTGACCGAGGATTCTCGTAGTTTGTACGAAATTTTAACCTATGAAAGTATATATACCGGCTCTATAGAAGATTTCTATCTACTTATACAAGACCTAAGTATTTTAAGGTTGGCCTAATTTTTAACTCTATAAATTATGTTGGACTCTGTATAACTCTGTATATTTGCACCGAGCGAGGAATCGAACCCGGGACCATCAGAAGGAAAGCGTTGTGCTAAACCGCTAGATCACCGAGGCCGTCTAGATAGTTAACGGCGGTAGTTTTTAACATATCATAAGTGTCTGTAATAGACCTACATGAATAAAGATGGTTTGGTTTGATATAAAAAATATATTACTAACTACTAGGCCAATAGGTACTATAACACTCTCCTTCACTATACTACACTCACACTCTCCCAGTATACTTACGTCGTCACTACTATGTACTTACTATAAATAGAATACATAATATGTACTATTATGTATTTTATGTACTTATGTAACAAAGTCGCTCACAACTTTAACCAATTTAGCAATAACAATGAAGTGTGCACTTCGAAACCCCCTACTACGTGCAGCTTCCCAAGTTGGGGGGCGCCACCCCATTACCGTAGAGGGGGGCGGACCGTATCGGGGTGAGAATTATATTTTAATGCAATAATTCTACGTGATCATGCAGCGTTTACGAGTGCTCAGTACGCTGTACACGAGACGAGATGTTGTCAGATAAATCGTGGCCAAATATCGTGGCATAGCAAATGAAATGAAATCGATATTGTCAGATAAATATTGGCCAGAAATCGTGGCATATCAAATGAAAAGAAATTTATAAATGATCTGTCAAACGCAGTTTAAATAGTCTTTGTTTTCTAAAATTTAACAATTTTCTTAGTAGTTTTGCTCGATGATAGTCCTTAAATTTTCTACAATAATTCAAATTTTCTGTGTATCTATTTATCTTAGTTTTTCATTTAGTAAGTATGCTCATTAAGATAAGTTTAAAGTTAAAGCAATAAAAAAATGACATGAATGCAAATGATTGAGTCGTTATCACGCTACAACGTGACCAATATAGGTACATAGGAAATCATTTAACTAAAGAGGCAATGCTGTATCTTGGGTACGCTGCCCCGATGGTACATCGCCTTGGATTACTATGTTTTTTTTGTAAATATTTATTAATATGCGTATGAAACTATTTTACTAATATTATAAAGAGGCAAGCTTTGTAAATTAAGTTTGTGATAACGTTTGAAAATTGTGATGAGCGAGTTTTAACTGTCAGATAGCTCATTTTTCGAAGAATAGGCTATATTGAGCCGCAATAAGAAGTGTTGCAAAACGGGAAGAATATAACGCAGGCGATGTAACGCGGATCAACTAGTTTTTCTATATATACATATATAGTATATATCTATATATAGTAAATCTTATTTTTATGTACTTGGAATGACAAACAAGCTAATAGTCTACTTGATGGTACCTAAATGGTAATTATAGGAACTTTGTTGTTAAATTTATATATAGCCGTTGTTAATAGAAGGTATTATAAATAGAATTTTATATTTAGAAAGAGTGTAATTATGTCTTCTTGTGTTCGCTTAAATTTTTCGCTGTTGATATTTTACTTTTTACCAATTATATACATATTTTATGTTTGTATTACGATGTATTTATTTACACTGCGGATCAAAACCCTACAGTAACGTTTGTCTATATGTAAAAAATAGGTACATAATAATACGTACAGCTTGGATATCTCAAGATAAATCTCAAGGAACTACATCTCACGTGCATCATGTTCGCTCGTCGACACGGCAAAGATTAAATTTGGCCAAAACCAGGCCCCATTTTATATCTAACGTACAACGACGGGCACAGCTTGCCACAGGAACAAACAGTAAGATATTAGGTAATAGGTAATGTTTTTTTGTGGGGGGGAAAGGGGATTGTTAGTAATGTGGATTGATAACCCCATTGCTAGCAATGTACAATGTCAGGTTGACCTCCACGCGGTTCCCCCTGGAAACCATCGTGACAAATTCCTGGTGAGCTTGTCACGATGGGCATTCCTCATCTTATCATCTTCCACTGTATGCACACTATAAATGTTTTCTTGTGAAACACATCTCATAAATGAAACACATCTCATACAAAGTGGAAGCTTAACCCTTCACTCCAAGCTATTTTTTCTTTATATTTCACCAGCTCCACGCTAAAAAAGAGGTATTACACTATGTCGAGTGACACTCGACATTGGAGTAGAAAGGGTTATATAGGCGTGACTGAAGTACACATGCAGATGACTTTTTACAGTCTAACTGTCGCACTTCTCCCCATGGACACTATCCTAACAAATTCTTGGAGAATTTTTCAAGAAGAGCTAACTGGCCTGACTTCATGCTTATGTTATCATCCTCAACTAGTGCCCCGTCAGTGTACATCGTTAGAGCAGGCTGGAGCGTCATTCCATTATCATCCATAAAAAAAACCGTCGCTTATTTATGAACAGCACACACACACACACACACATTACCATTACGAAGGATTAATTACACTGCTAAAATAAATGGAAAACCACTTTGGACAATGTTACCCTTGAAAAAAAGTTGATTTATAATAAAATCCTATAAAAAAGTAAACAACTGAAATCTATACTTGTTTCCGCCACTGTACAGCCGCCGTAGAATAATATTCAATTATTAAAACAATAATCCCGCTTCACGCGTCTCAGGAGAGTGGCGCCATCTAGCCGCTTAGCGCGGTTAACTGCGCTAAGGGAATTTTCGCTTCGTAAATGAATCCTCGTTGAAATATTTAATTTTAAACTTAAATCGAGATGACTAAGAGATGAAATTTGTTCTTACATGTTTTATGTATACGTCTTAAAACACATAAAAATCGTAAGAGTCGTTTTAAAGTTGATAGGCCAGTAAATACATTGCTTTATTGTCAGGAACTCCGAAGATTTTTATATAAATAATGACTATGGACTATGGAATGGTGCTCTTGTCTGTGGTGGTGATATACGCTGGCGAGGCATAAGTAGATGATAGGATGAGAATGAAGTCAGGTCAATTAGTACATCACGGCAAATTCACTTCAGCACAATAGTTTCCAGAGAGGCCAGAAGGTCAATCTGATGGGTACATTGCTTGCAATTGTGCAGTATTTAAATATTTATATATACCTACCTATTAATATTATAAGTATATGACTTACTAGAGTAGGATAGACCATCATCTACCCATAGTAGGTAATTGAGAACACAGGTAGAAGACGAAGTGCTTACACACATAGTTTCAGTTTTTACATAATTTTTTTACAAAATATTCTATGTACAATACGTAATATTATTATTTATATAATTAAATTATATTGTGTAGACTAAATTATTACATATTCATTGTTTCTTAAGCCTGCAATTATGTTTTTCCTAGTGCTGCCATCTTGCGTTGAATAGTGATATTACAGCTGCCTTGCTAAATTGATAGGATCTGTGATAATCAACAGGTGCCGCCGCTGATACTAGTTCGAAACGTTTAATCCTAATATGGAGTATGTTTACTACAATCTATGTATTAATTATTAGTTATTGTTCACTATAAATAATAATCATTATTGACTAACACAGTAGCTTCAAAAATTAAAAAAAGTATTGAGTGCGATGTCGCATGTCGTTTCAGTGAAGAGTTGTGAAGAGAGTACGTTATTGTCTTCGCAGTTTTTGTTTCTAATTGTCGGTAATTAAATTTAATATTTCTTGTACATTAATAATGGAAATAATATTAGCAAGAGTCTGATCCAGTGGAGAGTAGTACCTTTTATTGGTTTTGAGGGTAGATAGGTAACGCGGTTCAAAAGGTAAGTTCGAATGAGGTATAAGTTCTGGGAAGGTAAAATCTGGTGGTCGTTACAGCTTAATGTGAGTGCTTTCCACTCCTGGTTCTAGCAATCATTACTGCTAAAGGTGATTGCTCTCCATAGTTATTAACTTCTGGCTCATCAGATTTAGGTTTTAGATATTTATTCTCATTAACAATTAAAAATTATTCACTTAACTTGAGAGCTAAAAATATTAACTTATATAAATAAAACATTAGTGAAAACATAATGCAGATGGTGGAGCAGCAAAATCTTAGGAGCAACTACCCGCATAAATCACAACATTTATTGATTGGCTCTCAGTGCCGTAAATTTTGTACAGACCACAAAGTCAAGTCAAACGATTTTAATTATAACTTTATTTATATTTATATGATTAATATAAACATTAAGTTAACTTGCTCTTGAGTAGTATATTCTTTGCTTGATTGTAAATTGAATCTTGTGAAGGAATGTGTAAGATTTGATTTGACATTTCTGAATGACATTAACTGACATTGACGTTCTACTGCCTGCGGTTTATTATTTCGTAAATATTATTCTATTCATTACAACTTTTTAAATTCAAAAATCATTAGTGAATATCACTAAATAATAAAATGATTCTGTGTTAAAATACACAATATAATAATGGATCGTATATACGCACTTGGTATATCGTGCATAGAATTCATTCAATACTGGTAAGTAATATTCACGTGTAGGTTAGGTTGTATTGATTTTTTAATTTAATTACATACCGCAGCAGACTAAGGAAGTAATTAAAATTGTAATTAAATACTTCAATAGTTTATATATTAAACCGTTAGATAATTAACTCTAGATATAAATAATTTGGAATTCTTTTGTCAGCAATTTTACATAAATTTTATTAATTTCTTGAATAAATTTATATTTATTCACACACACAAAATAAAGTAATTTTTAAGTCCCGATTAACAATATAGATAATTATTTTAGTATACACTTTATATCAAACTAGTGGCGTTTCAGGGTGTTGAGAACTTAAAATAAATAAACTTCAACAACATAAATTAAAAAATTAAATTTCAGCTTTTGTGTTCTTAGAAATATCAATTATTGAGAAACTAAGAAAATATAATAATTTTTATTATGAATGTACTAGATATTATAAAACTATTAATCTGATTTTTTATTTTAACTCTATGTTAAAATTATAACTGTAGAATACATTGTAATTATGTTTCGAATAGATTTTTATATAGAAATTATTTGTTTACAGGTTTAAAGATTCTGAAGATTTCTTTGAGTTTGTGAATAATGTGTCCAATCCCCACCATGTGCTGGAGATTATGTTTCCAGTTGTTTCCATTGTGGACTCAGTGTTTGCAGCTCAACTTCTTCTCTGCATGGCATTTGGGGGCTGGTTGAATGCTGTTATGAAGTGGTAAGTTGCTGAAATCTTACAGAAAAATTGCAATTGGTATAAATTTCATATACACACTATAATGAGGGGTGAGGGAAAGATCAAGGCACAGCTACATGAAGTAATTAAAGACAAAATTGGAGTTGTGTTGTATCAACATTCAAAGAGGTTGATGGAAGGAGTGGAAAGTGGTATGAGCTCCACCGATAAGAGACTCTTATATTATTAATAAATTAATGAACCATAATATTGATAGTGGGCATGTTTCGCATAATATATTACAATAATAATAACCTAACATATGAATGCATAATATCATTAGTCCATTAGAATGGCAACACATGAGTTTAACCAAATGTCGCCATCACATGATGGTAGAGATATTGTAGATGGAAGTTTTCATCTAATACAAATGAAGGTTGGCAGTCAACATCAGGTGGGTCGATATCTTCCTTCCAAATTCATATTATTATTATTTTTCTGTTAAATTTTAATGATGAAACATCAATTTTTAACACATCTCTATTAACATATTTCTATTGTAACACTATTTCCATGTTCAGTGTGCCTTTAACTAATTACATAAAAAAATTATATACATTATTATCACTATCCCACCAATAGGTGGTTACTAGAAGATCGACCATACTGGTGGGTCAGAGAGACTAGTTTCTATATCGGGCATCGACCACAGCTGCGTCAGTTCCGTCACACCTGTGAGACGGGACCCGGCTGTCCCTCAGGTCATAGTGCGACCACCGCCATGATCCTGATGCTTGCTGTTATGTGGATATCCCATGTCATGAATGACAGGTATTTAACAAATTTATAATTATATTAGTATAATAATAATTATCTATGTTATTATTATTATATATTAATATTAATCTATTTTATATTGCACTGCTCTATTATCTCTGATCAATGCGACGATTGACTGCTAGAGAATACGATCAGGCATTAAGTCCGTCATGTTTGAAATTTTGTGTGCAAAAGAATAAATAAATATATTTATTCATATATACATAAATTGCAAAACTTTGTTACATTGTAAAATCTAGATTCGATTGTCAAATCGTTGGCTTGTTGGTGAAACCTAGTTTTAGTAAAAAAAGCTTTGCCACGGTTGTAAAACCTTACTTCGGTTGTAAACTCTAATTGTTTGTTAAACGTTACTTTGGTTTTAAAACCTAGTTCCAGTTAGAAAATCATGTCTGACCTATATACCTGAACAGCAATAGTGCTGTTCTATGTATAATATGTATGTATTTACGAAAAAAAAAATATCTATGTACTTGTATCAGTTATCTAGTACCCATAACACAAGATTCAGCTAGTTTAAGTTGGGACTAGATGGCGCTGTGTGAATTGTCCTGAGATTATTATTATATTATATATTGTTGTTAATATTTATAATTTTATAATAAAACTATATATATTTAACTAACATATTATATAAACCAGAGAGTTAACAATATAGAACCAATCATAGACAACAATTATAGTTGCCACTACTAATATAAAAATATTATATATATATATTTATATATATTATATATATATATATGTATTTATGTTTATTTACTTTAAATATATAACTAATATTAATTAAAATTATTAATTCATATACCTTTTTTTAACATCTCTCTAAATTTTGTAAATTTAACTGTCCCTAATGACTTTGTAAAAATATCTGCTACATATTACAAACCTGAATTGTTCCATTTTCACAATTTTCATGTACAAAGTGAGTTTTGAATTTTTAGTAAAATTTCCATGTTTTGCAATTTCAATTGCTCCAGAATTATCCTCATAAAAACAATCATATATCTATTCATGAGTACATATTCATGGATGATTGTGTCACACTGCTTAGATTTCCAAAATATTACATTTCCAAATAAACGAATTATAAAGATTTTCTATCTATAATATCACCTGGAATTTCAGGTTTTTTGTTAAATACGCACCCGCGACCATCGGACGTAAAGCGGTGTGCTAGACGGCTAGACCACCGAGGTCGTCATATATTTAAATGTATAATATAATAGTTATAAAATATAAACCTGTTGGCAATTAGCTGTAAGTTTATACTGTGTTCATTGAATAAAGAATTAAATAATAAAAATGAAAAATGTAATTCAGAAAATACTACATATGGTGGTGGAAGTACGTGGTGTACCCGTTGTTTGCGGCGGGGCTCGGCTCAGTGATGTTGGCGCGTATGTTCGTCGCCACACACTTCCCACACCAGTGTCTGTTGGGCGCGCTAGTCGGTGAGTGCCTTTATAATTATATTAGGTGACCCAGTGACAGAAACTAACGGATTCTAATATAATAATCTGTGCTTACGATGGTACAGGGTAGATTTAGAACAATAACAATAATTTTATTTGATTAAAATGACAGTGCATAAGTTGACAATTAAGATAAGATCATGTGTTTCGCCATAGTAATGGCATGCATAATATTCTTATTGTTGTTCTGCCGTATAAATTTATTTATAATTTAGACATTTATTCTTACTGTATATACATGCTGACATCATCTATACATATAAATAAAATTGGAGTGTCTGTTTGTAATATTGAAATAACCGTTGTTTACTAAATGCATATGAATATATAAACAATACGTATACCAAAATAACATTTTTTATCATTTTTGTCTGTCTGTCTGTCGGTCTGTTTGTTCCGGCTAATCTCTGAAATGGCTGGATCGATTTTGACGGGACTTTTTTTGGCAGGTAGCTGATGTAATAAGGAGTAACTTAGGCTACTTTTACTTTAGAAAATATATATATATTATATTATATTATTATTATAATATTTTTTTTCGTTAAATTCCACGCGTATATACGAAGTCGCGGGCACAGCTAGTCACGAATAAATTTATTGGTTATATAGTAAAGTTCATCTTAGTAAGAACATCTTAGTCCTTACTGAGATAAACTTTTCACAGTAGGTTTAACTCAGTTTTAATTTATTTTAATATACAAATAATGCGCGCGCGTCATGGCCTCCGTACGGTCTTTTCTGTCATAGGTAAGGGGTTGAGGGGGGGGGGGGGGGGGGGGGGGGGGGGGGGGGGGGGGGGGGGGGGAAGGGCGGGAACAGAAACTAACGGATTCTAATATAATAATCTGTGCTCATATCCTGTAATACTTCCTTCATTTCCTGTAATACTTCCTTTAAATTCTGCAATACTTGTAATGTTTGTTACAGGATCATTCATAGCTCCAGCGCTGTGTATATACGTGTCAGATCCTTTCATCTGGCAGTACGGGGCGCACGCGAAGCTTCCAGTCTCCCGCGCGGTCGCCTGGCACACCTTCAGCGCGGTGATAACGGTCATCATCGCTGCCGTCACCTACTTCAGCCTTACTCTCTGTGGATGGGACCCACAATGGACAGTGAAACTAGTGAGTACTTTGAAATGTTAGCTGTGCCTTTAGACTAAATTACTTACGATCCCCTTCAGAGAAACACATTAAACAATATCAAATCGCTGCTGAAGAAGTTAAAAAACATATTTAATGATGAGAAATTAAACAACAGAAGAGAATCAAATATAATTAAAAAAAAGTCGTATCTGTCTGGCGGGAGTTGACCTTGGCCGGGGTTTGGATCGATTTATTTATTATTAATATGAATGTGCAGGCGTTCCGTTGGTGCGAGAGTCCTGATGACATCCACGTGTCCACGACTCCTATGTACTCGCTGGTGCAGTCCACAGCCGCGTTGCTGGGCTGGGCGCTATTTGTTACACCGGCGGTTGCACAGTCAGTATATTGTTACTTATAACCAATTTACGTACACTGTGGTTTCAATGTATCGTCCAGTGAGGCTGTAAAGGTCAACTGCGGCGTATAGCATCAGAGTAGTCCGAAAATTACCCCTCTTTGGGGCGTTGGGAAAAACTCATCTACACCATACCATAGTGACATATTTTTTTAAATTTGTTTTTCAGATATCGCCACGACTCCAAGAATAGGTCGTTAATAATTTCCGCCTTCACAACCGCCTTGATATTCTACGGCATCCGTCACTTCCAAGATAATATATGCAAATCTCACGCGTGGTGGTATTATGCTATGCATTTTTTGACAGGCGTTTTGAAGCCGGCCTTACTACTACGACTGACCCCGGCGGTTGCCACGTGGCCTTTCAGAACACAGGACAAGCAAAAAATAGCATAAATAAAAAATGTATACGTTCTCACATTAATACGATCTTCAAATGTCGTCAATTATGTTTTAATAGCAATAATTATTATTTATACCAAAGAATATTAATAATTTTTACTCTTGTACAACAACATTGTATACTAAAAAAAATTGAGCTATTATTATTATTATGTTTAATAATAGACTTCAAAATAATAATAATAATAATTAGACAATTCACACAGCGCCATCTAGTTCCAAGATAAGCAGAGCTTGTATTATAGGCACTGGATGACTAATAAAAATTCTTAAATACATTTTTAATACATAAACAATATATAGAAAACACTCAGACCAATACAAACAATCATACTCAAGAATACAAACGTTTACACCGTGCTAGGAACCGAACGAGCGAAGTAAGGCAGTGTGCTAAATCGCTAGACTACCGGAGCCGTGAAATATAATCATAGAAAATTAAAATATTTTATAAAACTAGCCATTGCTTGTCTCTTCATTGTGCTCCTCCTTTATCTGGTATGGTTTTGGCTGTACGAGAGCATTGTAGCCGTTTTCATAATGCCTAATTGCCTGCTTTTTGAGATATAGAATATCGCTATAGTTATTATCGTGACATAAGCACGTCTGTACTAAGATCTGTTCAGTCGATTAGTTATGAATGTAAACATACAGAAAGACTCACTTTTGCATTTACAATGTTAGCATGTATGGTTTTTTTTATAGGTATGTAATGGAATTCTGGACTAACAGTATACGCTGGCGGCGCACCAGTGGAGGATGATAATATGAGCATGAGGTCAGGTCAGTTAGTCCATCGTGACAAATTCACCAGGAATAATTTTATTTACCATATAAAATTATTCGTGTTAACGGTTAACAATATAAATAATGTATATTAAACTCGATAGTTTAATGATAACTAAATTCACCAGGAATTTATCACAATGGTTTCTAGGGGCAACCGCGTGGAACTCAACCTAACATGGCACATTGCTAGCAATGGGGTCAATTTCATAAATTACTAACATTCCTTCCCCTACAGATAGAGTTTTAGATTTTTTTCATATACGACATGTCGCACGCTTAAACCAATACTGCATTAACTAAAATATACTTATTTACGAAATTAGACTTTAAAGTGAAATATCTAGAATTGAATTTCCAAAATTTTAAGAGCTGAGATAAAGGCTCATTGATAATTAGACTTTAAAATTAAAACTCTAAAATTGATTTTACCAAATCTGTAGCTGTTGAGATAAAGCATCATTCATATGTTAAGACACACCAATTTCCCTCGTTTAAAAAAAATGAAATGTCGTGTTACCCCGTTTTTTAAAGAAGACTTTTGTACTTTCTTCTTTTTATTTATTATCACACAATCTTTAATATAAAACACAAAAGTATCAACAAGCCACTGAACTTTTTAAAAGTTTTTGTCTTCAGCACTCAACTTCACTTATATGTACATAAACAAACATATACACTTATATACATTTTGCTATATGTAACTATATCTCCATGTTTTGTTAATTTTGTTTTTGAGACGTCTGGATTACGATGGTTTATTATGAGCAAATTTGGTCATATGCAGACTCTTAAAATAATTTTGCTTTTAAATTTAAAATAGTTAATAGAAATAGAAAACATAGGGCATGCTAATAATGTATAATAAATGTACGTTTTATGACAAAAATTTGATCTAGTGTCAATATCCAGGGAGAAAACAGAATATGTTTGTATGTATACAATACTGTTTTCTCTTTATTCCCATTGATATTATAATTATTACCACTGACTTGTTAAAATAATGATTCAAAACTGTGATATTTGTGTTTGTGAAATGAAAATATCTTAAGTAAATAAAAATGCACACTAATAACCGATGTGTTCTTATTTTATTCACTTACTAGCTATTCGCTATCTACATGTACCTATTATATATATAAAACTTCCTCACTCTAATCTATTAAAAAACGCTTCAAAATCCGTTGCTAGTAAAGATTCACATACCTAGGGTGTACATGTATTATATATATAAATTTACGCTTTAGGACCGGACGATCACCCGTGGGCACTTTAATTGAAATAAACCTAGGGGTTAAAAATGTCTACTTCAATATATTGTACACTAAAAACATATTTAAAAAAGAATATACGTAATTAACAATGTGATGGCATGTAACTTATGTAAAATGTTTCGGTTGTAGGGTGCAGGTTAGGCAATGAAATTTTAAGGTATATCGGCAACTTAACATCGTCTTCCAGAAAGACAACGAATGGTTTCACGGGTACCGTGATATCACATGATAACGTGATGTCTGTAGTTCTGTTCACGTATATAGGCGACGGTTACTACTTACAATCAGATGGACCGTCAGATTGGCATTTCAGTTGTATAAAAAACACTTAAATATCAAGTAGAATAGAAGATTTAAAAATCATCCCCCTGTGCGTAAAATATATAGAGTGAATATATGAATGAGACTCAAGAAATAGAAGAACGTTTTTCGATAAGTCAAGAAAATCCAAACACTTATATGCAGCTGTTATTCAAGAAAAGATTTCAATATTGAAGGCTTCGGTGGTCTAGCCATGTAGAACACCGCTTTACTTCCGATGGTCGCGGGTTCGATTCCTCACACGGTGCAAACATTTGTCGTCATGAGGATGTATGTTTGTGGTGGATGGGTGTTTGTACTGGTCTGCGTGTGTTCTATGCATATTATGTATGTATTTACAAAAAAAATATATATCTAAGTATTTATATGAGTTGTCCAGTACGCATAGTACGCTAGAGCTAAGCTTTGCTTAGCTTGGGACTAGAGGGCGCTGTGTCATTTGTCCAGGATTATTTATATTTATATACGAAATTAAAGTCTATATTTTTTTACATATCTATTTATTGAAGCTAGTAGTTTTTTTAAGTAGAAAGCATATTGAATTTAGTCTATAATAAATGACACAGTGGGCTGTCGTCCAGGCGGTAATAACTCCGGGCGTACTCTATTCAACTTTCTCTTTCCAATTAGTGTTGTCTCTTTCACACGTTTCACGTTGTTTTCCATTAGCTGAATGTTGTATTGTTCTTCTAGAAGATGCTCGAAGGAGGTCAAAATAGCAGTTGAACTGGTATCTTCATCGGTATACGATTGAAGTTTTATAGCTACAGCTGTACAGCTTTCTGAAGACAACTGTTAAAAAAATAAAAAAAATCTTTTTATTTTACCCTTACTAAGACAATGGCTGTTTGGGCCGAGTCCTTTTGCCCTGTTAATCCTTTCACTGCAGCGACAAAAATCGAATTTAAAAAACGTGTCTGTGGTTGTTGGCGGGGAAAGAAATCTACAAAATTGAGGATATTCGCAATGCGACTATATGTTTGTTTCCGTACTTTATTTTAGTTTATCCTATGTTCGTGCACTTATTCACTTATTTTTGCAACAAGCACCGTGCTATGTAAGAGACCATTCATAAATTACATGTGACCCCCTGATGACATGACTTGATGACTTAAGAAACTCAGTTCGTATCCTTTTCAAATAAATGTTGTACATGTTTACTATAATATAGTCATTAAAATTAAAATTTGGGAGAATAGAGTTGTTGTAGTTTTATAATTTAATATGTGTAGGTATATAGGTAAAGGAATAAAGACTTGGTATAAAGTCACTATATTTTGAAATTTTATTAAATATTAAAATATATATAAGTATTCATTACATTTACAGCACAAGTAGGGTTACCAACCATACTTTATAATAACGTATCCTATTTTATTTTCGGTAATGATACTTTATACTTACTTTTACATAAAGTATGCAAAAATACTTTATTTTCGACCTTTACTGCGATGCATAAAACGTGAGTTGTAACATTTGTCACAGCTCTAGTATTAAAAACACACAAAAATACGTTTTTAATGCAAAAAATTTTTGAAAAATACTGTTTCTTCCTAATTCTTTATTTTTTTCCTATCCAAACCATTTTATACGGTTTTTTTTTGTCACAAAAAGTTGGCAACCCTAAGCACAGGGGACAAACGAGCTTGCGATTGAAAACGGACGAGCACCCGTGAGACCAGAGGAATAAGCTTTTTAAGTAAAAAAATAACTTTCAAAATCAAAAAGAATCATTGCCTGTTTATATCTACCATAGATATATAATATAATTAATTTTATACATTGTCTACCAACCTTTTTAACTAATGTTTTGAATTGATCCAGCTCCTTATCAATTGATGAATCGCTCACAGTTTTTGATGAGAGCCACCTATAATTCGATCTATCTGGATGCCGCCGCTCATGTAGTCTAGAATACCTTACTATTGATTGTACCTAAAACAAAACTGAGTAAGTTAGGTTTTTTGATAAATAAGAATTCTGGTTAGAACCCGCTTACGTTAATTGTTTTTTTTAATTCATATACAAGCTTTAAGCATGAAGATCATATCCTAAGGACGGTGTTACATATGAATGTGGATGGTTATAAGGGTAGAGGAAGGCCGAAAAAGAGATAAATGGACTGTGTGATAGATGATATGGTGAGAAAGGGAGTAAATAACGGTATGAGTGCGAACAGAGATGAATGCAAGAGAAAAACATATTACGCCGACCCCAAATAAATGGGATAAGGAAGAAGCAGATTATGATGATACAAGCTTTAAGCATCACTTTATCACACACACATCTTTTCCGCTCATCTTATCATCTTCCACCGGTTCCCCGCCACTGTAAATTGTTAGTGTAAGGGGTTGAACCATTTCATTACCTTTAAAAATTCCTATTCAGTTTTCCGTATTTCAGTCATATATGTATATCTATGTAATTGTCTGCAGGGCCGGCGCTAGGGTCCTCAATGCTCGCATGGAATTTTTATCCTAGCGCAGTTTGTCTCCGTATTCATAGTTAAGTTACATTAATTATTGTAATTTATTAAGTATTCTATAGATTCTATATTTTAATAAAATTATAGTATATATCCGAACCGTAATGGCGCATGGCGCCCCCTTCGACGAGGCGCCCGCATGCGTTGCATGCCCGCTTCCGCCGGCCCTGATTGTGTGACTACTTATACATAAAATATTAAAATAATAATAAAAATTTAAAATTGTACTCACATACTGCAATAAATCATCGGCCGTGAACCATTTCTCCGTATTTAAAACGGGCTTTTCGAAAAACATCTCGATTTTTTCTATATACAAATATATATTTAAATAATATTTATTTATATTATATAGACTTATAATATAGTCATTTAGTGTGTATGTCCTCTTTTAAGTACCACGCACGATTGCTTTAAATATATTTTAGTAACGTATACAATAAAGTAATTCATTTATTTTCCTTATAGATTGGTACTTATGGGTTTTAGTTTTGAATGGGATGTGTGAGGGAAACCATATTAGATACATGAATAGGATTTCAGATAATGATTATTGGTTTTATGATTAGGCAGTAAATATTATCTATATTATCATGATTTTTACAACCAACTGCCAGTAGGTTTCTCTGTCTGTTTATTATATTATATCGAACTTTTTTTTTCACTACTTATGAATTTATATTACACACGATATACTTCGTCCGTATGGAATAGTGACCTTGCTAAATAAAGAAAAAATATTTAATAATCTAACAAAAAAGCCAAAGAAAAAGTATTCGTTGTAGCCTCAAAAATGACTAGCATACAATCTTTCATTTTATTTTATTTTATCCCCTTAAGTTCTATTGGACGGGAGATTGATTGGAGAGGAAAAGCAGATCCCTTTCAAACTGGACCATTTATTAATAATTATAAATTAATAACAAAATAAGTCTTAGAATAACGAAAGGGTATCAGGTTCTTTGTCTTTTTATTACAAAATGTGATTACAGACATCTCCGCCGGTTCAAACTAGTTGTCATATTTATTAAGCGATAGCTTTCAAGTGGTATTTAAAATCTATTTTATGTATTAGTACCTATTGCGATAACCTATCAATATGATAGCACATTTTCATGAACTTAGCAACGTCCATATTGACGCCTGTTGACATTGATAAGTTCATGAAAGTGTCCTTCATGAATATATAAGTTACTGTTGTCCCGGCAAACTTCTTTGTCATACAAATTAATATCGCTTTTAAAAAATAGAAGTTGGTGATAGAAGGGTGAAAATTTAGGGTTATATGTATTTTTTAATTCAAAATTATAAAATAATTTAAAATTTTCCAAAAAGTTAAAAAAATGTTAGGGGTGAAAAATAGATTCGATTCTCAGACCTAGGTACTGAATATGCATATAAATTTTCATAAAAATCTGTCAAGCCGTTTCGGAGGAGCATGGTAACTAACATTGTGACACAAGTATTTTAGATACATATATAAGACTTTATTTAGCATATTTAACAATCTACGAATGTACTAAATCCATTGTGACCTCGATGGTCTACCGCTTTGCGTCCGATTGTCGCAAGTTCGATTCATCGCCTATACTAATTTCTCAGCTTAACTTATTGTTGACTGGTAGAAAACGTCCTTTAATAATAATTATAATTTATTCGCTCAAAAACACAGTACAAAAGATGACATAAGCATAAAACCATGTACTTGCCATAGCAATGGCATGCAAAATATTATTTAAAAGTGCTTGCTGTTAAATTCACCATTTGTATATTTATGTGTTATATTTATGCCGTAAAAATTAAATAAATGAATAAATGTTCGTAGGAAACTTTTATTTTAATTAATGGAAACATTATAGTATCTCGTGTCTGCTTGTAACAGAGATAAAGATGCAGGAAGAGTTTAATGAGCATCGGTAAAATGGATCGTACACATTTTTCATCTGATCGCACTATGCAAGATGGCGACATTGCTTTTTTAGATTTATTTGATTTTACAACGATATCGATGTTGGTACCTTATTACTAGATATGTATATTATATAATAATAATAGTCTCAGGGCATTGTCAGATTATTATCATTATTATATATGTATATATTTTTATAGTAAAATAATGTTGTCAGAAGGTTTTCAGTAGTTTTATATTTTATATTTTGACTTTCTATTTCTATAGGGAGATTGTTTTTGTGAAAAAGAGGCATGACGTTTTAGACCTCATGAGTGTTCTCACAGGTGTTACATGATAACTGTAGTATAATTCATATATATATGAATACATTAAGTTTATATTTTGTTGCATTTTGTTTATGTTTATAATTTTGCACCGCCAACAATTATTCTCTGCACCATTGGTTGATTGGTTGCTGCATGGTGTTAAGTCCGCCAAATGTACTGTACTATATGTTATATTGTGTGCATTAAAGTTAAATAAATAAATAAAAAATATACAAACGATACTTATAATTTACCTTCAGGTGGCCCATCACATAGAATTCCATAACAAGAACTAATATTATCAAACATCCTTTTATATTTTCTTATTTTGAACTATATTTTATAGGGGGAAAGAGTTAAGGGTTTGTTATTAATGTGGATTGATCATCTTATTGCTAGCAATGTACCATGTCAGGTTGACCTCCACGCGGTTCTCATCGGTGATAAATTCTCATCTTATCATCCTCCACTGCTGCCCCGCCAGCGTAAACCGTTAGCTCAGGAAAATTAAATAAAAGCAAAATCATAAATTGATTTTTGATTTTTATATTTTTTATCACTTTTGTTTAGTTCTATGGTTGTGTCAAATATACTAAAATAAGGATTGAATTTACTGAAGGATTGGTGAGTTCGTTATTTTTATTGCCTTAAAATAAGACATTGGCGTTGGGAGGCGTATTAATCGTGTAAGCAACGATACTCTTAGTTTTTATTTAAGAATCAGTATGGAATGGTGCACCGCATCATTGAATATTATTAACTTCAAAAAAATTAAAGTTGTCACTGAAATTTATATTAAAACTTCAGTTTAAACAAAAATATATATAATTTATGGAATGCGATCCCTTGTATTGGTTACATTTTGTATTGACTGTTGGTACGGTCATAACCTGCTCGACATTCATATCGGATAACAGCCAAGGTCAATGGCGCGGCCGGCACGGATGGCCGTACTGCAGATGTCCTGACTGTGAAAAAAGTAAAAACTGACGCGCTTGACATTTCCCGCCTAAAATAAGACATTTTTATTTTTTTTTTCACTCAAGTGACAAAGGGCGTCATACCTTAAGGTTATTATTTTTAGTAAAGAATTTCTGCACAACAGATTGAAACAACTAATGAAAATAATTATATATATTATTATTATTGCAACTAAAAGTCAAATTCATTTATTCAAAGGTAAGTGTAGTAGGACATTTTTTGGGAGTATCACTATTATCCAGTTGAGAAGAACCGGCAAGCAACTGAACTCCTACAATTTTTTTACTGACAAAAGCAATAAGAATATATCGATGAAAGACTATAAAATCATTACTGTCTTATGTATTTTTAAGCGCCGTTTTGAAGATTGATGTATTGCACTAAAATTATAGGTTACAGAGGCGAACGAAAATTACGAGAAATGCTAACGAGATGAACAGTGTAGTTGTATCTTGAAGAAGAAATATGATGGTAAATGGTAACCTCTATACATGAACAGCACTACAACGATATTGTGGAATCACCTTCCAGCAATGGTAGGTATTTCCGAACCGATATGATATTGAAACCTTTAAGAAAAGAGCTTATTCCTTAAAAGGTCGGCAACGCGCTTAAATTCCCCTGGTAATACGAGTGCTCATGGGCGGCGAAAATCACTTACCCTCAGGGACCGAAAGATATTTTGTCCAAAGTTTTTTTGTATATACCTACTATATAAAATAAAAGCTAAAACCGAAATAATAATATTATTCCAAATAAATGGTATGAATAGCGAATAGTGAATTGTAATTCTGATCTCTTATTTCGGGGTACTTATCACCTTTGTCATCATCACCAAAGCCATCATTATCGAATTCTGTAATCGGAACAAGCGGAAATTTAGGTGAAGTGTTTGGAATGAAGGAGATGAGATTCGAGATTCGAAGAATCGAAATTCGAATATTAATTTTCTCATGTGTCATGTTCACTTACTTCACTAGAATAATTAAGAAAATAAAAACAACTGATATTACGAATATATAAATTTACTACCTATTATATATGTATATTTTATGGGTATCTATATGTATATAAACCAATAATCCCACCCATCTTGCAATACCGGCGGCGAGATCATAACAACCAATTAGACTAGAATGTTCCGCAATTTTCACCTCACCTTGCCCTTTCAAGTTCGAACCGGCAATCTCCAAAGTCGTAAAACGACACATTAAAAAAAAAACAGGCAATCTCGCGCCATTTCTCTTCTTATTTATTGAGAGTTGACATCAATAATAGGGATGTATCATTCTGAATAAATAAATATTTTTACAGAAATCGATTTTTCCGCAAATAATCGCTTTTATAGAATAGGTAATTGAATTATTGGTGTCTAGGACTATACACTATAGTATTAAATCAAATCAAAATATAATCATATAGGTCTATTACAGACATTTATGGTAAGTTAAACCTACCGTCAATTTTAAAAGTACTTTGTCCTAAGAACTCACAAGTCCTCTGCACTCTGCCCTCACTCTTTTCAAATACTACTTATTGTGTGTACATCATTATAATAGTACACAGTTATAAAAACTTAACAAGAATGAATACAGCGATCATCAGAATATGCTATTGAATTATAATAATTTTCATTAAATATAATACTTCAATCTTATTATTTAGGTATAAAGTTCGCCTTGTTTTTCTTTTCGTGTTTTATTGAACCACATGAATGAAAATTTCATAGGAAAAAATCGTCTGTGAAATAAAAATTTAAATATCGATGTTTTATTATATTACAATCGATTTTTTCGAAAATCGATAATTTTTACACATCCCTATTTAAGAGTCGGTAATGTGATATCATATATTTAATCTGTAAATAATATAGTAATTTACTGTTCACTGTTTTATTTCAACAATGTAGCTTACAAGACGTGGGTTGCATCAGATATGGTTTGTTTATAGATATCTTGTGACAAATAGCTGGCTTGTTGGCTGGTCTGGTTTGAAGGGTGAGATAAGGCGGTGAAATTATTGAGTATGAAGGTAATCTTAAACTAAAAATATCCATTTTAATGCTAAATTAACTCTTTTGTCTCGGAATCTATAAACACTGAATAATCTTTATTCAAATAAACTTAAGCATTTTTGAAGTCATATATATTTTTATTCCACCATTAATTCGGAAAACACACCTCGCAAGAGGAATGTTAAAGAAACTTGAGCGTTATTGTTACCTTGCATTAAAAACATAGTAAAAAAAAATTGTACCTATAAAAAAGTACAAAATTATATAGTGAGATATAAATCCTTCAACCTTCCCTATAGTTCTCATCCAGGCTTTGACACAGAATTAAACTCTTTATGACTCTTATTTTCAGTCGCTACTGTATCTTAATTGGAGATGTTTAATTAAAAAATTACCGACGCAGAAAAAAAAAACAATCAATTAAAATTATTCGCATTCCCATCGCGGCACGTTGACAGTGTAGGAATTTAATTCGTTACGATCCACGACCTCGTGCTACCATAACGATATTAATTTATTCGAATACTAGTTACTCGCCCCGGCTTCGCACGGGTGTACATGTATTATATATGTATATGAACCTTCCTCTTGAATCACTTTGTCTATAAAAAATCAAATCATTCAAAATCCTTTGCGTAGTTTTAAACATTTAAGTATACATAGGGACGGACAGCGAGAGCTACTTTGCTTTATACTATGTAATGATAATGCATCGTTATCAACAGACATTGCGAGTATTTTAAACTACTATCCAAATGGCTATACAAATATAAATATCTTTATTTTGCCTGAAAAATTGTTTACAAGACGATAAATAATTATGATTCAGAAATATCTTTTTTCATGTAGTCTATTACAGACTCTTCTCTTATGATATGTCAACTCTACCGTCAATTGGAAATGATTTCGAGATGAGAAGAACTGACAAGAAGACTGAATCTTCATTTGAATCTGTCTTGGAAAATTAAGTGTCCAGTATTTGTCTTCATACTTATTCCATAGTTGCACTTTCTTTTTCTTCATTATTAAATTCCTGTTGCACCATGCACTATGAGAGGAATCGATCGCGGACCATCGGAAGTAAAGCGGTGTGCTAAACTGCTATATACCACCGAGGCCGTCAAAGCGGCCGGACGTTTAGATCTATATTGTGTTTAACAAGACATTCTATCAATCATATTTGATGCCATAAAGTATATTATATTATTATTGCCGTCGATAGGTATCGTATTTATATTATATTATAAGTAGGTGCTCCATGTTTGATTGCGTCTGCAATTATGACTGACAGATCGCTGATGCCATCTATAATTTTTTACATTTTCCTGTATTCGTATTTGGTATATATAAGGACAAGAAAAGTATTTAAAAAACTACTGTTTTATTTATTCATTGAAAATGTATTATTTGTTTAATTTGGTTCAATTATAGACAGAAGTCATTAATATAAATATAAAATAGGAAAGGTCCTAATACAACGCCCTGTGGTATACCATTAATAATTAATAAGCCTACCTTGATATCGTGTATATTTTTTTCTATTTTAGCCTTTAATTGACGAAATAAGTGGGCAAACGAATTTTTATATAAAAAAGTTGTGTAGTTGTAGTAGAGTTGACTCCGGCTACGGCGCCGGTAGAATGCTAACGCAACCTCGCGACTCCGGCTACGGTGCCCGTAGGTACGCAAGTACAAAGGTAGTAGTGTAATTTTTTAATGGGTAAGAATCCCACACACCCACTCGCCAGCCCACTGGCAAGGAGACGGTCTTTTGAAGAATTTTCCATACGATAATAAAGAGTAGTTGGTTAATTAAATTTGACTTTCAGCTCAGTCTTACGAACTTTAAGGTATATAAGTCCGAGTCTATAACGAGTTCTTCGAGTTACGGTTTTATAAAAACAATCAGATACAAAATCTGTACTTTATTTACAATTTACATGTTTTACAAATAAGTAGGTACAGGTACGTTTTCAACATTTATGGATAGACGGGAACACTACTTATTTACAATTGGTTTTACAAATATGGCAGTGTTGTACAAAATTCACGTAAACATTTCGTTAAATCCAGATTACCTATTAAAGAAACTGACAGAACAAAATGTTCTAGCCCTTTCTAATTATCAAAGAATAACAAAGACAGCATTACTGACATATAATAACCACTATAATTATAAAAAAATAAAACGTCTATGAGATCGGTAAGTACCAGTTAATGAGTTAGGAAGTCTGGAATTATCGAATGTTTATTTCTTAAATCCATAATGTTTTTTTGTTCACCAGCAGTAAGGGTAGTTGGGGCAGAGAGCAGGGTTGAAGTCTGCAGGGTAGCGCGCGGCACCAATTGGGGGGTTGTTGGGGCTGAAAAAATATATATTATATGATAATACTGACATTATTTACCTCTAATAACTATTTCTTAGAAACTACTTCCAAAACATAATTTCTTTCTCAAAATATAATATTGTCTTTCTTCCCCTGTATGATTGAAACAGGATTGAAATTAAGACTGCCTCAGCCGAGGTTCGAACCCTTTGCGGAACTCCTAGATTATAGTCATATCCGTCATGCAGGAGTTTCAGCCTTTCAGCCGCTTCAGTGATTTTGATTTGTCTAAGCTAATTGTTTCGCAGGATTGTAGGATACAGCTAGTTAATCAATAAATTTTACAACTGTACACATTATACAATATTTCGACGCTATTACTAACGTCCTGGTCACGGGTCAAGTCATGACCAAGATTGTACAGTGTAAATATCCCATTTATATAATGTGTACAATTCTGAACAATAGTGAACAAGTTACAGACGGTGTCTAGTAAATAAATATTAGTTAGTAATAAACTTACTCAATAGGCGCTACTGGCAGAATACTAGGGTTGTAGATCCATTCGGGGATGGGTGTGCCGTCAGGGGTGAACCGGGCGAGCATAGCTGTGTCGCAGTAAGGGTAGTTAGGGCAGACTGCGGGGTGAATGCCGGGTGGGTACTCGGCGGCTAGCGCTACCACGACCACGGCGCAAAGGATGAACTGAAATGTAAGATTAGTATTTTTTTTATGTAATTTGAATGGTAAACAAACTGGCAGTCCATCTGATGATAAGCGTATCCACCTAAGACATGAACACCATTACGGAAATCATGTTATCATGTGACACCCGTGATACCACTCATGCGTTGCCATTCCAGAGTACTAAGATGTCATGCCTCTTATCCTGTAACTTCACTGCCTAATCTGCACTGTACAACTGAAACACAGCTTAAAGCAGGTTGCTTGGCGGCTGAAATAAGTGAGACTGAGGTAATCTCGCACTGTGTTGTGTTGAATAATATAATATAATAGAAACTTTTAATATAACTTGTATTTTAAGTTAATGTAATCTGAAATATGTAGTAAGGATTAATCGAGTGAAAGAAAAATAAATATGTGTATATACAAAATAAAATCATTATAATAATTAATCATATTACAAAAGCGATAGGTGTTTGTTTGTTTACTGTCCTTTTTTTCTTGAAGATAGATCTTATTGTATATTTTTATTGAAGATATTATAGATTCTATCGTGAGGGTACCGATATATAGAAATGTTTGACGAATACGACTTTAGTCTGAGGGCACCGCTAGGGGTTCGAACCTCGGCTCAGGCCGTCGTAATTTCCATATATTCGTAAAAAGGGATATAAAGTTTTTGCTTCACTTCACGTCTTAATATAATGATTGGCAATACATTAGACAAGTAATCCAGTAGCACTATTGTTTTGCAATATTGTTGCGAGTCTACGGCCATGTTCTGCGCCATTTATCTAATTAATAACTCAATGTTAGTAAATTTCTTGACGCAAATTTAGTTTAAAAAAGTAGATTATTTAATAATATATAATTATTAATTTCCGACGAAAAAACAAGGTATGTCGGTATTGTTTGCAATAAGTTTTTTATTATGAAGGGTTTTGGACTATTATCAGGTGCTTAGAGCTATAGCACTGCGACCTACATAGATTTATTATTTATTTATTTATTTAAAACAGACCTACTGACCGACCTATAAGATCTATTGTGTTCGTTCTTTTTCAGAGTTCCCTACCTAGACCCGTCAGGGACAAGAATTGTAGGACTTAGGAGTGATGGTTTTTATCTCCTAAAGATAGAGTGTGTACTTTCCAACTGAGAGATTTCGTTCGTTTAAGCATGAGTGGGCTACAGCCGCATAGGATATGTAGTAATAGATACTTCAATTTATTTATTTGTATAGATATACATATAATAATAATAATCACAGGACAATTCAAACAGCGCCATTAGACCCAAACTAAGCTGGCTAAAGCCTGTGTTATGATTAGTGGATAACTAATATACATACTTAGATATATTCATTTTGTAAATACATACATATTATACATACCATTTAAAATACCCCACGATACAAACAATCATCCTCATGAATAGAAATGTTTGTAATGTGAGAGGAATCGAACCCGCGACCATCGGAAGTAAAGTGATGTGCTAAACCGCTAGACCACCGAGGTCGTCGTACTAAATTCATAATTATCAATATGAATTACAAATTGTTCAAGTAGTGATGGAATTCCTATCACACCTGTGTGTTTGTATGCCATAATTACACCTACGTAACCTTGCGCCCACTGTATCGGGTACGGTGTCGTATTGTGAGATGCTTATTGTTTGATGAAATTTATAGTACGTGTAGCGTTATAGGTTTAGTGGTTATAGTGTCGGATTCGCATCGGAAAGTGTCAGGTTCGGTAATCGGGTAGTGTATTTTTTTTAGTATCATTTCTACATTTATATAAATCATGGAACTGATTTATGGATGGACTTATGAAAACGGACGGACGGATGAATTTTTAGCATTTTTTTATAATTTAATATTCTAAACAGTGTTTGTATAAATGTTTCTCTAATTTAATGTCTTTTTTATTATAATTTGTATGATATAATAATTTATTTGATTATTATTGTTATGAGATTGTATTATTGCTGTGTTGTGATGTGAGTTGCAATACACTCTATTCTATACTCTGAAAATATCAATTTTTTTTGTAATACTAACCGTTTTTGACTACATGCATATGAATATAAATAAAATTTTTGTTTAACTGTCTGTCTGTTTGTTCCTGCTAATCTCTGGCTACTTTTTTTGGCAGGTAGCTGACGTAATAAGGAGTAACTTGGCTACTTTTATTTTAGGAAAATAAAGTTCTTTCTTTTTTCGGGCTATTCTAATGTTGGCTATAGCTGGTCTTTACAGCTTACCCGGCCGATAGGGCGAGTGCAGATGGCACTCCAAACCCGCAGCAGGATTTGTGGAACGGCTGAAAGCCAACTTCCGCCTGACGAATATGACTTTAGTCTGAGTGCCCCGCTAGGGGTTCGAACCTCTGTACAGGCTGTCGTAACTTCGATCCGTTTTTAGCAGCAAAAAATGCAAAAAGACCGAAAGTCTGAATTCTCTATCGCTTTAAAAAAAAGGTGTTTTTATGTGTATAATAAAGTAGAACTCTTTATATATATTAATAACTTTACTATTTTTATATTATAATATAACATTTTATATAATAACAATATCTTTGGACAATTCACACAGCGCCATCTAGTCCCAAGCTAAGCTGAGCTTGTGTTATTGGTACTAGACAACTGATAGAAATACTTCAATACATTTTATGTACATAGAAAACACCCAGACCTATACAAACAATTATACTTATGAATACAAATATTTGTGCCGTGCGAGGAATCGAACCCGCGACCATCGGAAGTAAGGCGGTGTGCTAAACCCCTAGAACACTGAGGTCGTCAAAGTTCTGCTGTTTAGTTGTGCAAAGGTACCAAATAGACACACTTTATCATTTATAATATTAGTAAGGATTACGATAGAGAATAACATCAGGCTGGCCGTATGCCAAGTAGCTGAAGTATTAAAAAGCAAACTCACCAGTTTAGTGTACATTGTGATGTGTGTCCTCTCGACTTTACAGTGAGACTGATGACAGTCCGTCCGTCGCGATCATTTTTATATGTATCGAGGTGCGCACGCGCATTCTGCATTACCTATTACCGATACGAATCTGATAGCTCATTATGGTAACAACACCCTTATGCCTTATCGTCATATTGGTGGTTTTCCTTCAAATTTATGGCGATTTGCGGGAAATTTACAGTAAATTAGGAATTATTTCGTGAACTTTTCACGAAAATTTCAATCTTAGTAATATTATTTTGCGAAAGATTGCGTGTGACGCGTTTATAATATTAGATAGATAAAGACTGTAATGTTTTTCTTCCATCATAATTTGTAATTGCATTCACATATTGGAGAGCTCGATGTTTAATACATAGACTATATATTTTTAAATACAGGAGCCAACGGAATATCAGTGCTGCGGATTTATCTGTAGCTTTGTGCTTTACTTGGTTACCTCTTCACCTTTTCAACACATAAACCCGCCTCCATATTTTTATATGTATTTTTTTGTATCTGATGTTTACTATGTGTTTGTAATCTATACATGTAAATAAAATTGGAGTGTCTATTTGTAATATTGAAATAACATTTTTTTACAATTTTTGTCTGTCTGTTTGTTCCGGCTAATCTCTGATATGGCTGGACCGATTTTGACGAGATTTTTTTGGCAGATAGCTGATCTAATAAAGAGTAACTTGCCTACTTTTATTTTAGAAAAATAAAGTAGTTAAAAGTTAAATTACACGCGGATGAAGTCGCGGATACAGCTAGTTAATTAATAAATATTTTATCTATCTAAATAAAAAGTGGTCTGTCTGTATACCTCAGTCTCAACTATTTCAGCTTACCTTGTTGTTTCGGTTGTACAGTGCAGATTAAGGCAGTGATATTGTAGGATAAGAGGCATTACATCTTAGCCCTCTGGAATGAAAACGCAAGAGTATCTTAAGTGTTACATGATAACGTGATGTCCGTAGTGCTGTTCTTGTATATTGCTAGGATTACTTTTTACCATCAGGTGTGCCGTAGGCTTGTTTATCATTCCAGTAAATTTTTTTTTAATCAGTTTTGGGCATTATTATCTTAGGGACTTAGATATATAAAAATATATATTCATAAATACTGATATTGTAGGAGCTAAGCAGATACTACAGCGAACATCTCAATGTTCATTTTATGTAGTCGTAACAAACTGACAGTACGACCATTTTGGTCTTGTGAAATTAATATAGAATGAGCCATCTACAAAATTTCTACGCTCGGAATTGATTTATTGTGTACTAGCTACTCGCCCCGGCTTCGCACGGGTGTACATGTATTATATATGTAAACCTTTCTCTTGAATCACTCTATCTATTAAAAGAAACCGCTTCAAAATCCGTTGCGTAGTTTTAAAGATTTAAGCATACATCGAGACGAACAGACAGCGACAGCGACTTTGTTTTATACTATGTAATGATGCATGTGCAGTTATATGTAAATAAATATTGTGTTCATCACATTGACTAAATGCACGTATATATATATACAGATTTTCTTCAGCACCGATACAGTTGTTACTTTCATAGTCGGTCTTACAGCATCAGTATAAACTTACATCGTTAAGACTATTATGCCAGATAGGGAAGATTTTATTTTCATGTTTAATCGATGATTATGGAATGGTGCACCAGCCTGCGCTAACGGTTTACGCTGGCGGGGCACTAGTGGAGGATGATAAGATGAGCATGAGGTCAGGTAAGTTGGCCCATCGTGACAAATTCACCAGGAATTTATCACGATGGTTTCCAAGGGGAACCGCGTGGAGGTCAACCTGACATTACATTCAGTACATTGCTAGCGATGGAGTAATTAGTTCACATTCACACGATCCCTTTTCCCCCTATATGGGGTAGTTATAGGCAACCGTCGTGGTGAACGCAGCACTTGATATGCCCAGATAGCGTAATGTGGGCATGTCAAGTGTGAGGTTTAATGAACCCCATTCCTAGCAACCATGCCAGGTTGACATCTAAGTAGGTTCCTCCTGGAAACCATTGTGATAAATTCCTGTTGAAATGACCTGTACTCATGCTCATCTTATTATCTTCCTCTGGTACACCGCCAACAAACCGTTAACGCAGACGGGTGCATCATTCCATTATCAAATTTAAAAAAAATACTAGGGGGAGGAGATTGTTAGTAATGGGAATTAGCAACCCCCATTGCTACCAAAGTACCATCTCATGTTATACTTATTCCTTACAGCATCCGGAGGATAAAGAGAAGTGATGACACATACTTTTGTGACCGCACAGATCGAAAAAATATTTAAAAACAATTAATTCATTGTCATTATCATAAATTTATATTGTAATTAAAAACAATAATAAACGTGTTAATTGACTGTTAATATATTATTGTATAACATATTGGTTTTTACGTCTCATTAGCGACTTAATGACATAACCGTTCTGAGGTCTATCATAATCAGATAGATCGTTTAATGGAAGATACAAGAGTTTACAAAAGGGATGTAGGTATGAGACAAGTTATGAAAGGGATGTAGCCAGAAATTATCGAGGTAGACTTTATACAAAGTTGACCCCAGCCTCACCTATTTTACCTAACATGTAGCAAACTATTTGGCAACTAGATTAGGTGTTTTGTGTTACCGTCAACGGTCAACAATGGCAACGTCTAAAGCAGATTTCAGTGACTACAACGCCATCTGGTTTGAGTGAGATAATCACCACAATTTTTACTTAATTAATATGATTTACACTTATAAACGTAAAGTATATATATAAATAGTGAAGATTAAATATAATTATAATTATGATATAAAACGTATGTTCTAGAAGTTTGATATAATCAATTTTTTTTTGAGTACATGATATAAGTTCTGATTTGATCATAACAGTCTTACCTACCCTGATTTAAAAAATAGAACAAGCTTATTGTGTGGACAGTGCAGTTCGGTTTAAAAGCTTGAAGTGAAAAGTATCTACATATAACTGAATGAAGACAATAATAATCTTTGTGCATCGTTGCAGCTGCCGCACCGTAACATTTGCTTAAAAGATGAAAATTCGTCTGCGTGAGTAGCTTTTGTATCGCTAACCAATTTTACCCGCTTTTAAATTTCGCAACGGATTTTAATGCAGTTTTCAGCAATAGATAGAGGATTAGAGGAAGGTATACAGGGGCGGATCGTGAATTTGTGGGGCGCTGGGCTAAATCTACTTAGAGGCCTACCTAATTATATTACTCAACTAAAAAAATACAACGACCATAAATTCTCCGTTGCTTTCCATAAACGCGCACTTGCATGATCTCAGGGTTGCCAACCTTATAATAGGTTTTTTAACATTCTAGATATTTTTTATTGTAGATATCGTTTAAGTGCGTAACGATTTCTATGTTGATTGTCGCATACCTAATCCTTGTTGTTAATTAAATATAAGTAAATCAATATTTATTTAAAAGAGCAACACACAAGTTTCTTGCTTATTCTTCTTGTGATGAATCTGCATTCCGAATAAGCGGTAGAATAAAAAAAACTTCACTACTATTCAAAAGTGCGTATATTGTTTATTTGAATAAAGATTATTTCTATTTCTAGTGGAGATTGGATTGTCCGTTTATATCTTCGGGGCCATGCACTGCAGCCCAAAAAGCCCTTAGGTAGACCCGCCCCTGAAGGTATAAATAAACCTTCCTCTAATCTATGCATACATGGATAATATACAGTATAGAAAAGCCAAAATTTCAAAGATATGTGCATGCACTCGTTCCAAGCCGTAGCTAGTTGCTAGTATAATAAATTAAATAATTTATTTAAACGATATAACAATAATAATAATAGTAATATAAATAAACATCAGTACGTAACAGGTGGTTCTTCTTGAGATAAAATAAATAAGATCACAAGTTGTAAACCCGTTTTGCGAATCATTTTTGATATTTTATAGTGTTGCTGAAACAGTTATGCGTAATTATGAATAATTTACTGTATCTACTGTTATATTTAACAAGTATTTTTGTATTTTGTATTAATAAAAAAAACGTGAAATTGGAATGGGATATATATTGATGGCCCTATTGGCAAGTGTAACCTTCAGCCAGTGACGGACTAAGGTCTAAAGCCGGCCCTAGGCAACATTGTAATTCCGGGTCCATTTTTCAATCATGATATATGCTTTACCTTTGGTAGTTTTAACAATTACAAGCCCTAGGTACGTGCCTAGGTTCTTCTTATGGATGATAATGGTATGTTGCACCCGTCTGCGCTAACGGTTTACGCTGCCGGGGCACCAGTGGACAATGATAAGATGAGCATCAGCATGAGGTCAGATCAGTTAGTCCATCGTGACAAATTCACCAAGAATTTATCACGATAGTCATGAATCTACATTACTAATAATACGATTACTCCCCGTTTGGTATGTTTTATAAATTACATGGGCCTAGTTTGTGTAAGCCTTGATCCGCCCTACCTTCAGCTATAAAGGGTTAAGCGCATGAAATCGCACTACACTCGTGTCTAATATCCTTAAAATGTGTATATTTCTAAATTACACAATTAAAATCGATCGCTAACAGGGAAGGCCGTAACGGTTCCAGTAGCGGTTTCCGCACTGAATATTTCTGGTCTCAGACATGCTAATGTTAGTGGAATTTAACAATTTATACTAATATTATAAAGCTGAAGAGTTTGTTTGTTTGTTTGTTTGTTTGTTTGTTTGTTTGAACGCGTTAATCTCATGTACTACTGGTTCGAATTGAAAAATTATTTTAGTGTTGGATAGTCCATTTGTCGAGGAAGGCTTTAAGCTTTATAACATTACCTACGCTACGACCAGTAGGAGCTGCAACGAATAATATTGCAAAAAATGGGGAAATGTAACGCAGACGACGTTGCGCGGCTCAGCTAGTATAATATAATAATATAAATCCTTAAATAAGGTATCCAGTATAAGCAACTCATTCTTTTTTTGTATTAAATTAAAATATATAAATACATCTGCCAATTAACTAAAAATAACCCGTTAACATACTCAGTCAGTTAAAAAATAACTTAATCAAACAGAACTGTGCA